GTCGTCTTTAAGCAGGTCTGTACCACCGGTCAAGTGTATCCACTTGATGAGTTGGCGAAGTCCTGACTCATATCGCTCCTTCGTGCTGTCTGCGAGGCACGAGTCGATGATGTCCTCTAGCGACGTTTCCTGTCGCTGCAGGATCGTCATCGGCGCCATTGACTTCGTACAATACGGTTTTTATCCTATTATCGATGCCGTTTTCAGCGTCAGCTGTGTGGCCTACGATTTCGGATAATCACTCGCCATTCGTCATATATATAGGCAGTTGTATACCGACCAAGTTCAATATCCTGGTGTGAATGCGATGGCCGTCCTACTCCTCTCTTGATGTTTGTATATTGGGCCTACGAAATCGGATGAATGGTGTAGTAGTTCTATTCGGATTATTTACAATTTTGACAACCCCACCAGGCGACAGTAAAACCGCGGAAACTGTAAATTCGCCAGATTAACATTTTCCACTGTAAAATACAGTTTTAACATGTTCTCAATGGATAATTTTGTTCACAGTCAATGTATCTGTCAATTATCGGTGTCATAAGCTTACGGTATACCGTTGACGGAAAGCCAACAAATCACTTTACTTCGATCAAACGCGCTCGTGGCTCACATTTCACTAACAGAAAATTCAGCAACTTCATCGGCAGCCCAATCAAAGCACAACCTTTTCTGACCAGTGACATAAGTTTTCACGTGTGAATGACCGTTTTTCCTTACTTCCATCAACACATTAGAACAGTCGTGCATCGTCCAAGGTGGGTCTATATACAGCTACTGTATAGCGATATTGTCCAACTAAAGCTGAGGGGCAGGATGGAATGGCTGCCTGTATTAACTACTTAGGGCGGGAAGGTGGTCAAATATCTCACACGCTAATTCCACTTCATCACCGTCGTCCAAAGCTAACTTACAGTATGCCTCAGGGCTCACTTCCTAGTTTTGCGGATTTTTTACCGTTTTACTGCTGGGTTTGACGAAAATCAAACACGAAACTGTAAAATTGTATTTTACGGTCTGCTTAAGAGCATCCCCACCCCTGACGCTAAACCCAAAACTCTAAAAACAGTAACGTTAAAGTGGGATCACGCAAAATAATTTAGCGTTTTTCATCATATTTCACACCTGTTGCCAAACAGCGATTTAACTCTATTCGCATGGATGCACGACACCAAGCAGCAGAATCGCCTGGATAAAAGTAGTTCAGGGCAAAGCATGCCAACAAGTCAGTGAATAAACTACTAGCAGGGAATATCGCTTAGAAAGCCGCATCCGGAGTAGCACTCCGTTGCCGGTAACGTTAGCAATCAAATGTTGTGTATCGGTACGTTTTCAAGCGCATGTAAGCGTAGACGCGACTATAGGTCACAACGACACTAGTAACGTTAGTCTACGCATGCGTTAACATAAGTCCAGAAGTCGCAATACAGGGGGAGGGGGCATGCCCGTTGGCGGAGAAACCAGTGCCTGTGATGTGGGCACCGTACACGAGCGAGCGGGTGCATTGCTGGGGCAACACATGCAGGCGCTGGTCCCACGCGACCTGATGTTAACCGTATTGCGATTCTTGTAGGAAGCACACTGAAAGTTGGCCCCTGAACAGATGCAAGGACGACCATCGGTCGGCCAGGTTGGCACATGCCGAAGGACGACTGCCGTCATGGCCAATGCCAGCAGTCATCCTTCACGATACAAGCGTCACATGCAGTCGTGTCGATGAGACACACAAGATAGGACTCATGGACTCACTCTAACTTAGCGTTGAGCGGCGCTTTGTGCTATGTGGGGCCGCGAGGACACGCACCTGTATTGTACTTGGCCGACATGGCGGCATGCCATTGCAACCAGGTAATCCTAAACGTGTGGGAATTGTATGCACATGGAAATGTATTGCTGATTGTATGCTGGCCAGAACTCTAACCAATCGGTCAAATCTGACGAATAATCTGACTTTAGCGCGCCGGATAGCGTCGACGCTAGAATTTAGAGTCCCGCGGTGGGAGAACTGGAAAAATACAGTTTTGGGGTTTTAGCGGCACGAGTGGGGATGCTCTTAGAGCATCTCCAGCGGTGCTTTTATTTTTATTTCAATTCGAAGTTACGGATATATTAATAGAATAGAAATTCTTGCACTATCCGGAGAGTTTGTTGCTATGTCACGTGAAAATAGAAATTCTGCGAGTCAAAATTTCTAAAAAGTCCGGATAGTGCCAAAATAGCAACCGTAAAAACGAAGTTTGACTTTACAGTTAACGTATGGTCTAGCAATAAGGGGGTTAGAATTTACCGTTGGAGATTCACTTACAAGTGGGGATGCCCTCAATGCTCTGGCTATTACATACAAACGATACTTCGAATCTTGTAAGGGCATCCGTAATGGTATGACGGTATAATCAGACTGTATTTTGACGTTTGCCGACACTGCTTTTTCCCCAACGGTGAAAAACGGCAAATAATACGCATAACAGCCTCGTCCGGTTACCGGTATGGTGATTCTGCTGATGAAGTAGTAGTGTAGAACAACGACGACAGCGACATAGACAACGAAATGGACCCTACGCTCAAGTAATCCCAACATACATAGTGATACTAACTAGAGTTCATGTTGTAGCAGACGAAACTGCGAATTTCAAGCTGAGTGGAGATCAATTTACTTTACCCTCTTATTGACTTCAAAATATACTAGAAGACGCTCACGAGCACTGTCGTTCAGCCCAACCAGTGGGGTGGTCATTGGAACACATCCGATTTCATTTACGCTGGATTTGCTCGAACCAACCGTGCTTATGAGAGCATCTAACTGAGATGGACATGTTTGCAATTGATTGGTCAAAATTATTTCAAATGTAGTCAGTGATTGGCTCCTCATTTTGCCGTTCTATGTTCATAAAACATCCTCCGTCTCCTCCATTGAAAATGAAAATTGTCAGCCACTGCTCGAAACCTCGCACGTCCAAAAATCTCTGAAAAATATTTTACCTCTATAAAATAATATATTGACGTGTTGGAAATGGTACATGCATTAATTAATAACAGAAGGTGTTTCCCCGCAAAGGATAAGTTCTGGAAATTAATATTTTACAAGAGGTGAGAATATTTTGTTTTACAGGATCCGTCGAAATGGACTTACTGTAAGTACTCCGGAGTATTACTCGTACAGATCTGTTACATGTACAGTTAGTCCTTGCGTTTTTGACTTCGTGACCTATTCCTACTGGCTGCCGAAAACAAGAATGCAAATGAACACGACCTCCATACTTGAGCGAGTGCAAGTGACAGATACATATTCTTCGAAGAAGTCACACCATATACTATAATATTCCCTCCGTCCCACAATAATGGCTCGACTTTGGGAAGGGTGTACATGTCTCGTCATTATATTTGTAAGGAAAATTCAAATGTGTCTGCATCCCGTCCCATAGCGGAAATTCAAATGTGTCTGCATCCCGCCCCAGAGCGGATTAAATAGTTCTGATTGGACTACGAGAAAGAGCGCGCCAAGAGCTTTAACATGATGCACCTGGGCCGCGAAAAATCGTACCATAACGTAGCCATTTTTATAGCTCAAAATTTCCATACATAAATCATATAAAATCATCATTCTTAGACATACATTCATTCACATGTCACTCAAAATGGGAACTGGAAAGGCAGGACCTGACCAACGACGAGCGCGAAGGCATCCTTCGTGAAACGCTGCTTAAGAGCAACGGCAGCTACTGCACAAGATTACCCAAGGGTTTTGGCGAGTACCTGACCAACAAGTACTCCTGTCACGAGTATTTGGTGCGTGCAATATACTTACGAACAATCTAGGAATCAGTCGTGAATCACTCCATCGATACATCAAAACTGGGGATGTTTCGTGCGCGCGTTCAAATGCGATTCGTCCTCTTTTGACGGGGGCGAACAAGGTTTCCTATGAGACAATTTTATACCGTTACACCTCCAAAAATGAATCATTATCTTTGGCCGAAATGTACTGGTATTCCTTTTTCGAGGAGTCATACATCAAAATTCTGATTCGAACCATTATTGTGGGATCGAGGGAGTACAGTATAAGCTTATGCAGTACTATTAATGCATACTCTACTGCGTAGTACGTAAGTTTGAACTATTAATATTAATAGTACACTATGGATCCGATCGCATACGTTGCCGGTATAGTAGACTCGACATACAGACGACGAGGGAATTTAAGGCTCATCGAAGTTTTGAGTGTCACACACTTTTTTCATCCAATCAGCAGCAAATCATGAAATACTTAAATTCTATTAGTGAATATTTATAATGTGTTTCGAACTTCGAACTATGCTATCCAATCATATCGTGAAATATGCGCTACACACAGAACTTTGATGAGGCTTAAATTCCCTCGAACATCGAGGATTCTGGTACAAAAGTGTTTCTAACGTTAAGGTGGTGACATTGTACAATCTTATCCTCCAATCTCTATCCACTACGTAACGTTAGTACATCTCTGATGCAAGGTCAGCATTGTGTTACGCGTGCGAAATCACTCCATATGTAGCTCGAAGACTGGTGGCACTGCAATCAAACCATAGATGGAATGTATAGGGGTAGGAACATTGAGGCAGTGTCATGCGATATGATGACCAAGGCTTACGCCAGATCAAAGACCAAGGCTTACTCGAGGTCATGATAGCTTATGTTTTGTGTGGTCGTGTGTGTTATTGGGCAAGGATGTGAGAGGTTTGGAATGATGAATCCTTGGCTTTCATTCCTGGTTCTACCTCGAACTGAGCCCTACCTTTGTGTGCGTGTTCTACCCCCTGCCCCTGGCCTATCCAACAGCGAGACCATGCTTGTCCTTCTCACCGTAGTCCTTGCCTTCTTGATGCCTGCGTCAGGCCAGCGCCTGACGAAGGAAGAATGCGCTCGCCGTCATGTATGCCCCCGGGAGCCAATCTTAAACTTCGTGTGCGGCTCGGATGGCATCAGCTACGGCAACCCCTGCACCTTTCGGTTTGCTCAATGCGGCAACCCCAACCTGACCCTTCATTCCCTTGGGCCGTGCGAACGAAAAGGATGCTGATCTTGCATCAGAGTTGTAGTGGATAGAGAGATTGGAGGACAAGATAGTTAATCGTAATTCAAGAATGCTAATTATCGGCTTGTGGAGTACAGATACAGAATGTATTATTGGTCCTTTTACCCAAAATTTGGACTTTTGTTATGTAAAAAGGTGTCCTGTGGTGATTGGTATCACACTAATTGAAGTCACACACTAATTTAACGTTGATGATGGTTTCCTGCAATCTGATTGGCTAAATCCTTCTGTCGATCCTTCAATACATTTGGTTGTGTCCATGTCGCTCCAGTTTAGAATACACACAACAATAATAGTTCGAGGTTCGAGTCTGAACGGAGTTCTCGTTTTGTGCACATGCACATGCACATTATCCGGATAAAAGTTATCCCGACGAAATGCCTCGGAGGATAAGTTTGCCCCTAACGTTAAGAGATCCATATGCATTATAGCAACGACGATGCAACCATCAAGTTAACCACTCACTTCGTGCCTCGAACGAAGGTCGGTTGTGTTGTACCTAGATGCAAGTAGTTCCCCCAAACGATGGAAAGCCGGGCAATTTTGTACGAGCCTGTTCCAAGTACAACGCAGTGGCAAAACTATAAAGCGATTGGCGTCGTAGTACGTAGAGTTATTGGAGATTCGGAACGAATTTTCGGACCCCGTTCAATCGAATCTCGACGACAAAACCAGGAACCAATCTCTCTCCCATTGGTCAATCCGAAATTACTTGTCGCTGATTGGCTACAAACTATTTTCGATTTTCTATCTGATAGGTCGAAGTGGATAATAGCCAATCAAATGTCTCAGCTCTATTTGGGAAATTTGAAGAAAATTGACATCACTACAATACGTACTACAGTATACCATTTTTTAAGTTCAGGCTATTTCCGGTATATTCCGTCCGACGCACAACTGATTCACGCCATCTGCGTTTGTTCGCCTACATCGTTGCAGTATATTTCGCACGTTGGCCAATATAACTTTATTTCAATTGATGTTCCATTGATTTCGATTTTATTATTGGGCTTTCCGGTTAAACTTGCCAATTGTGAGCCACTGTGAAAATCGCCAACAAATAGCCGCGATGATTTCATTGGTTAGAATTTCGAAGATTTGGACAGAAAATAGACATCCAACTCAGTTTTCCACAACTGCCTGGGCAGTACGACGAGGTGTAGTCGCACGTTGCGGTAGCGCGGGCGTCCAGTTGGTGTACTTGAGATGTTTGTGTGTACTGTACTGTACATAGGTGTGCATGTGTGTTGGGGATGCGAAGAGAC